GTTTGATAAAGGCTGGGAGTTAGGGGGAAGCAACCATCACAGACACTGTTTTAAACCAGTGGCTGGGGTGCATCTGCATATAGTAGGTGCTCACTGAATACTGACTAGTTTTAAATCTAATTCTTGCTAAAGAGTCTGAGAGGGCACTCTATCAGAAAGAGCAGTTAGAAAGTTAATTTGTTTTTGCCAGAAGCACTAGCAGAAAAGACTGTAACTTCCACTCTAAGAGACTCCATGGACAAGTTCACGACTGAGAATAAGGACACTCCTCAGTTGTTTAGAAATGTGTTGGGTCCACCAAGACATGGTCATTTTAGGCTGCCATCCTTACATCAACAGCCCAATGGTCCACAGACCTCAGCGATGGCCTCCCCACCTCCGTCACTCTCCCCAAGGGGTTCATCTCCTTAGGTAGTCACCAAACTGCTGTGTGCATTGCTCCGAGCCAAGCTGCTGGGGACAACAATGAGCTCATCAGGTGGGTCCCTACTGCTAGTTGTTGCTGACGCTGGTAGAGCTGCTTCCCTGTGCGAAATGTCCAATCCATTACTTGAGTCTCTTCATTTAGTTCTTTACTTTTTCTAAATAAGGAAATGAGGTTCATTTAGCACTACAAGTTAACTATTAAGTTCACACAATTTACAGATGGCAATGCAGATCGGTGTGACTCCTAAGTGCATGTTCTTTCCACTATGTGACTCTGGCCAAGCCTTTGGAATCATAGAACTCCTGTTCTAAAATGCAGGAAATGCCAAGAGAACTACCCTTAGAGAGCCATCCATTAGAAACAGGTGATGTCTCTCACACTGTGGTTTAGCTTAATTTCCTATAGATCCTCTTTAGGTTTGCGCTCTCTGCTTAGGGCAAATCTACAACTTTTCCTTCCTCTCCAAAAATGCCCAAGAATTTCACCTTTTCTCCAACTCTTATGGAACAACTCAAACTCCCCCCGCCCCCACCAACCCACCCCAGGGCAAATCTACTTTTCCTTCCTCTCCAAAAATGGCCAGGAATTTCACCTTTTCTCCAACTCTTACAGAACAATTCAAACTCCCCCCCCCAACCCTCCCCAAACTACTACAAAATCTGAACTATAAAAACCACAAATGAGCTAAAGGTAATAAAGGAGATTTCCAAGAAAACCCTCAGGGTTAGTAATCATGGCAAACGGTGCCAGGTGCCAGGTACTTACTAAGTATCCTCCTTTCTTTCTTAAAAAGAATCCTGATTTTTGTTTGACAGGAATGTGTCCAGCTATAAAACTGTTTTCCCAGCCTCCTTCACAGCTAGAGTACATGTGGTGACATGAGACACTTTCTAACCACCACTGTGATAGAGAATGAATCCCACGCCCAGTTCAACGAATCAGGATACTTTTCTTCCCTTAGCAATAAGCACCTGCTTCTTGAAGTGACAATGTGCCCAGATTTTAAAACAGAATAGCCACAAATCTCAGATTCTTTCATGTACAATGGAAGACACCGGTTCATCCTGGTGTGCTCTGCCCACAGGACCTTGCTTTGTGCTGCCTGGCTTGGTCCTGGAGGTTGGGCACCACTGTGACAAGGATGAGGACTTCATCCTCAGTTGGAGGAGCAGAAACCAAAGGAGCCTGAGTGCCTGATAACTTCAAGGGCCACCCTCCCAGTCCCGGGATGCTTTACCTCCAGACTTCACATGAGAAAAATCAAATTCCTCTCATGTTCAAGCCCTAGCTGCTTGGGCTTTCAACTCCACTCGACTTCTACATTGTCTGCAACATTTGATTTGCAGGCCAGTTTAGTAAGAGTGGAGTTTAGGACTTTTGTTTGATGGTGTTAGGAGGACACATGACTTTTTGATCTTGTTCCAGCAAACAACCCATAATGTGGGCAGGTTGCTGCTGGCAGGGAGCTGGAACTGAGGTTGTCAAAGTGGCTCCTGGATTGGTGATGGTGGCAATAGCAGCTGGAGCCGCAGTTATTAAAAATGCAAATTTTCTGTTACAGTCCCAGATCTACTGAATCAGCAATGTTTTAATAACCCTACAGGTCTGAGATCCTAAAATTTGAGAATTACTGATGTCCAGAGAGACACCAAGAAGTCAAGCCAGGGCCTGATCAGACCAGGTCTCCACAATACTTCTGACTCCCTGGTAACATGAACAATCTCCTTTCTTCCGGTTAAAACTACTAAGCTGGGGTTTCTGTGACTTGTCCCTGAAAACACAACCACAGTTGCTGCCTCATGGACCCTCTCCATATAGGACACAAAATACTGCCCAGAAACACTTTGTTCTACATCTACATGAGCGATATAATACGGAAATCAGTAACATCTGCCCTGACTGAAAGAGACTTGATGAACAGATTTAATGCCCTAGCCAGCCGTCATTTCCAGATGATGCATCTAGATTTGCAAAAACTTTGTTTGCTTGGAGGTTTAAATATGAATTTCCAACTCAGAAGAGCACACACCACATGCATTTTATTGTACCGCTGTGCCCACATGGATCTGGGTCGGTCTTCTGCGCTGCTCCCACCCGAAACAGCAGGCGTGCTCCTCTGCAACCAGCCCAGGGTCAGCTCTTTTCTTAGGCAAATGATATTCACCTGGATTCACCTATTTCTGAGACTCCACTAGGGTCTCTACTGTGCATGCGCTTCTCTGCAGCCGCCACCCACATACTCCAGGTGCTCAGCTGTTTCTCAGACTTGTTCTCTACTCCTCCCTGCTCACAAGCTAAACAGGGCTTTTGGGAACCAGATGAAGCCGGGATGGGAAAAATCTGGCTCCTGTAAAGAAGAAACTTCTGGTTTCTTGTACAGAACTCAGCACATGTCAGAGCACCTGATAAACCACAACAATGGGCCATGTCCTTCCTGACAGCTTGTTATGTGCCAGTGCTGTAGCAAGAATTTGTTACCACCTCTGATGTAGGAGATGCTAGTATTTCTACAAAGAAACTGAGCTTACGGAACTTAAGTCACCTACCCAAAGTCTTTCACTTAATATGTGACAGCAGAGATTTGAACCCACATGTCTTCTGAGATGAAAGGGATAGAAACCAAATTCAAAATATCTTCAGCAATAAAAAGGAAATTATTGAATTTAGTCCAGGGGACTTCAGGCACAGTCGGGAACCAGGTGGGCCAAGTAGATGCACTCCGGCTGCCTTTCCTCTGTGCTGGATACCCCTCACATGGCTCTCCTATATGGCAGGTAGGAGCATGCTAATCGGATTTGGACCCCCTTGAGACTTAAAGAGTTCATGACCCCTGGGGAAGAGTTTGATTCTATTCCACCAGCGCGTAGTTTGCTTAACTTTAACTTGTACGCTCAGCCCTGAAGCACTCACTGAAAGTGGAGGAACAGAGAATTCTGATTTACTAGGTCTGGGACAAGTGACAAGTGAACCATGGAAGTGAGGTGGGGGGAGATCAGTTTCCTTCTCTGAACCCCCAAGATTGAGCAGGATTATTAGAAATTGGGAAGAGATGGTTGATTAAGGATCAGGGTGTTAGCTTATTATAATGCAGCCTTTAGTTGTCTACCTTTCCAACTGACTAATCTTGTAAGTGCCCTTAATGTACATCTATAATGTATCATAGAGGTAATTTTGGCTTCAAGTAGTAAAAACCTTAAGCCCCAGTAAACTTGGCTTGATGAGTATGTGTTGTCTTATAGATGCCAGTGTTTGCCTTACCTGTGGGGAAGATGGGAACCTCAGGGTTGGTTGGTGCTAGATCCATGTTGTCAGAAGTTAGTGGCCAGGAGAATTTAGGCCACAAAGCCCCCTTCCCTCAGCTTGGACAAACTAGTAAATACTGGAGCTGCCTTGGGTGGTGCACTTGTGAGTTGGTGGCTGCTTCTCACACTCTGGTGGGAATCTCTTCACTTTGAGTAGAATAAAGGAGAATAATGATGGCCTGCAGTCTCTGCAAAAATGGACTAAGGCTAAGATTGCCTCATAGGGGAAATGCCTTGCTGAATAACTAAGCTTTAACCATCCCTCCCCCACATCCAAGGAAGGGCAGCTCTACTCGTCCAGGTTATTCCCAGACACATCTGTTTGGGTGTAATACCGTCCTGCTTACCCAGTGAACTTTTGCCCCAGCCTGGCTACTCAGGCTTGAGTTTCATCCCCACCTCAGAGCTTTTGCTTACACCGTCCTGCCCCATGACTTTGCCGTCTTTGGTCCTGTTAACTTGTCTTTCAGGACTCTGAGGCAGGTTAGCTCCTCAGCAGAGTCTTCCCCAATAGTCCTGCCTTCCTAGGTCTTTTCTATTTTAAATGCCAGGAGCACTTGCTGTCTGCTTAGATGCTGAATGTGGCATTATCCATATAGTTTCAAGCAGGACTTTATTTCCTTTCTAGGTAAGGTATGTCAGAGTTCCCTATGCAGAGGGCATAGCAGGCTGGGTAACTTCCCAGACCATGTAAGTGGGTCTGGATGGGAGTTTGGAGCCTGCTTGGGATCATGTTCCACACCGACACTGTCATTTTGTGCTCATAAAATATCCTCAGAGGGTAAGAGAGCACGCGAGGGACTGCTTATTTTTCTGGGAGGGTCCTCAGGAGACAAGAAATCTCTCAGCTGCAGACTTTCAGGAGCTAGACAGAGGGAGCGTGGGGTGGGCCATGAAACAGGTGATCCTGAAGCAATGGGGACCAGGGAGGCTCATGGAAGTTAACTCAGGGTGTCAGCAGGGAATACGGCCATGTGAGTGGGCACCAGGGTGACAGCGGGGGCACCTGCTCCCACGGCACAGACTCTGGCTTCAGGTCCTCAGCACGCTTTAGCTCTTAAGCCCCTGGGGCTTCCCTCCTGACTTCCTCTCCTCTCTCCCAGTACGAGCCCCTCCCCCAACACTATGTAGGCCAACTACCTTCCCTCCCAATTCCCACAGAAGGGATGGAGGGGGCTGCCGGTGGGGGAGAGGAGCATGAAGGGCCAGAGGGAAAAGGAAAGAGAGGGTGGCAACCAACCAATAAGGGAGACAACTACAGCCATGCAAACTGGCTTTTCATAAGAACTTTACTTTTCAAAAATTGGGGAAGAATCCACAGTATTAAAATAATCCTCTAATTTTTGTTTTTGGAGGGAAGGATAGGATGACAAAATAATTCATATAAAAATTTCAAGCATAATTGCAGTAAATGCCTCATCTGGAGCCTCGTACCTCCCACCTGCAGCTCCAGGTTCCAGTCCATCACAGCAGGGAAGAAGCTCCTAGGTCTGGAGTGGCTGTAGGCATCTGGAATGCTTCTATGTTTGCTCCACCAATAAAGACAAAAAGTGGATCTTCCCAGTGGAAATGATCCAGTCCATGTTGTGAATGTTTCTGATGAGAAAGCTAAAAAGAGCTGCCCTAAAATTCCAAATTTCTCCTTTTTGAAGCTGACTGTGAGAGTGAAAGAAATAAAATGTGGAAAGATGTATCAGGTCTGAGCAGCTCTGGGGCCCACCATATGCTGAGGGAGACTCCACCTCACTGAGGAGATAAAAAGGTAAAGAGCGTCCATGATTTCCCACGGCCTTTCACATGGGAAACAGTACCTTTTTGTTTCTATGACCAGGGGGCACTGGACTGTACGAACATGCCCTACCTGTAGCAGTGAAGCAAAGTTTCTATCCTTAGCAAATACTTTCTAACTTAAAAATGAAAAAGAAAAGAGAAGAGGGCAAGCTAGAACACGTACATGAACCAACACTGATGTGGCCAAACTGAGCCCAGAAGCATCTAGGAGCCCTTTCCAACAACAGGCCCTTCCAGGAGTGAAGACAAGAGCTGGCTTATCCCCTGAGATTCTCAGACAATTTAAACTGTGAAGACCTCGGAACATTCCTAGGTTTCCTCACTTTCTTCTGATTGCTTTCAGTTGGTGTTTCTCTGAGGAACTGGGAGGTTCTCGTGAAGATATTTTAAGTTTCCATGTTCTGAGAAATCTGAGACCACGTGGTCCTGCCCTCGCAGCAGCCATTTGGTAGTAAGAAGTCCCTCGAGTCCTACTGGCCCCCGGGCATGGATTCTCGATGTGCTGATGCCCACTTCAGCTCCTGCAAAAAGCACGGATGAGGATGAGGCTTTCCGCAGCCTCTGCTTTCACACGCCCACCAGGCACATGTCTCTTCCTTCTCCTCACCAGAGACCCTCCCTCCTGGCCCATGCCTGGCCTTCCTCCCACACCAAACACAATGTTTGGGCCTCTCTTTTGTACTTTATCCCCAATGCATGTGACACTACTTAAGAGTGCTGTGTCTGGTATCTGATTAGTGTCTGGCATGGGTACTTAATTAGACATGTGGTGCACCACTATAGAGGTTTTATGTCCCCAAATAGTTTTTAAAACCTAAAAGGGAAAAGGCCTTTTCTTAGCGCCAGCTAGCATTTGGCACACAGATACTCAGAGGGTCACTGTTCATCTCCCTCTCCTCTTGCTCCAGGCTGGATGTGGGGACAGGGCACTTCGGGGCTCAGTGTTCCGCACTGAACAGAGTGCAGGCAGTGCTCTCCTGTTCATCACAGTTTTACTGAGCATGGACTGCGGGTGTTGTGCTGGGCCCTGGGCATACAGAGGTGAGTAAGGAACACGGCTCTGCCTTCACAGAGCGTCTATTTCTGCAGGCAAGGTGGCTCAAGGACTGTCTCAGTTGTGCCTTTCTCATACCAGACAGGACATCCAAGGAGAGCTGTGCGCTAAAACCTGAGCGATGAGAAAGAGCCAACCAGAGAGGGTCAGGTAGAGAGGGACAGTGAGAAGAGCCAGGTAGAGACCAGAGGGAGGTATGTGAGGTGTGTTGGGGGGCGGTTGGCAAGGAGACTGAGGCCACCAGACTCAGATTCTGGTTTAACTGTGTAGAGGTCGCAGGCTCTAGGTACATCATCTAACTTTCTCATTAGTTTTTTTTTTTTTTTTTCATTTGGAAAGTAAGAAAAATAACAGAATCCATTTTGGAAAGTAAGAAAAATAACAGAATCCATTTTGGAAAGTAAGAAAAATAACAGAATCCATTTTGTAAACGTGGTGAGGTAATGCATGTGGTACACTTAGCTCAGTGCTGGGGATGCACTAAATGCTCAATAAATATCATCTGTCGCTGCCACTTAATGCATTTCACAGGGACGTATCTGAGCCAGAGGTTCAGCCTTGCTCTTAGCAGGTGCTGGAAAGACAATGAGTGGTCGCCTGCTTTTCCCCGTGGTGGTTTTTCTTTTGAAAGTGGGGCACCTCAGCTCTTAAAAGTTGCTTTCTTGCTCAAGAACTTTAATACAGAGATTGGTGCAGAAATGTGATAATTAAGCCCAAACCCAACATAACAGAGACAGGAAACTAAAAAAGTTTAATGGCTAAGAATAACTGAGTAAAATTCTCCCTGGTAACCTTTGACAACTCAGTGAGAACTACTTCCCCAGGCAGATCATCCATTCAAAAGTTAAGTGAGATTAAAATGTTTTAAGTGGTTGAAATAATTCTCAGATGTGTCATGAATTTTTTTTTTGAAGCTTGTGATGGAATCTCTGAAAACCAGACACTGTATAAGTCCCTTACATGAGGGGGATGGAGATGTTATTAATGCTGGAAGAGAGGAGGAGGCTGCCTTTCTGAAGCTTTTAATTTCAGTTTTCTCTAGAAGTAAACCCAGCACCACTGGGCCTACATATTTGTTTTTGGTGCCAATACTCAGTCCAGCATAGGTACTGAACACCCCCCTCCGTCCATCCTCATGGGGGATTCCCAACTCTCAGGCAACCTGACTGTGTGCCTCTGAAGAAACGCTTGCAACAGCAGTGCTGGTGAACCCTGCCCGTGCCTCTGTTCCAACTGGTGCTAAAGGACACGCCTGCTCGTCCACGCTGAGGTGGGCAGGAGCCAGGCTTCAGAGGCGCATGGGTTTGGGTGTGAATGCCAGTTGCATTACTTTGGGCAAGTTATTTCTTGGGAACTGTTTTCCCATCTATGAACATGGAAAACTACCCTGTTGCGTGTGACATGCCGAAGCACAGGCCTTCTGCCAGCTCATGGCAGCTGTCTTTATTCTCTCTCACAAGCCACCTCCCCTTTTCCCTGGCACGTGACCCCAAAGGGGTCTCTTCATGTTGTGCTCTTTGGACGGGGACTCACAAGACTCCTTTCTCCCGTGAATGGAGTCCTTCTTACCCAATCCGAAGCGGTATCCATCAGAGAAGCGAGTGCTAGCGTTCCAGAACACACAGGCACTGTCCACATGCTGGAGGAAGAACTCTGCTGTTTTCTCTGCAACATAAGTAAGAGGAGAAACTGAGTTAGGAGGACCCATGAGAACATCCTGCTTCCAGTGGTTCACTGATGACTGACAGGGAGGTCCTCTTGGAGCACTCAGGTCCCCAAGGAGCCCTTACATGTTAAACATGCACACTTGTGAAAAATCTTAAAAGGAAGAAGGGCCAGCCAGCTTTGTCTGTCACTCCCGTGGGAAAGAAATTGCCTGAGAAAGACTGGATGGAATCCAGATCTGCCACTCAGATAAACCCCTGGTGCTGCTAGAGTCTATACATTTATAGGATCTGGGGCCAGCATGTCCAAGTCTTAACTCCAACTCTACACTCACTAGCTGGGTGACCTTGGGCAAGTTTCTGAACCTCTCTGTGCCTGAGTGAATGGACTGAACATTACCCATCTCTCATGGTTGTGCCGAGGATAAAATGAGCTGACACATAGCACTCATCCCAGAGTGCTCAGTAACTGGTAGCTGTTGTTTTTGGTGGTGATGTGATTCCCTGATAAACTAAGTTACTTGAGGGGATTTACTGGTTTCCTTTACCATAGGGTCTCAGTCTGTGGAGTCCGTGAATGTGTAGAGTTAAATTTTGCCCTAAACCACTTGGTTTTGTACTTGACCTGGACTTGATCTCCTCAGCTATAAAATGGCTTATCCAGCCATTTGGCTAGTATTGTATAGATTAAATTATAATACCTCTGAGAGTGAGTCATTTTTAAAGTGGAGCTAATTACCTCTTCCCTGTCTCTTCCGACGGGGCCACTGTGACAACGGTGGTCACACAGGCAGCACTCAGCAAATCAGTAAAGTCAGCCAATATGTGGCATCATCGTTAGCTTACTCAGATTATGTTTTCCTTCAGACCAAGAGGGGCTGGGAGGAGCCCCCTTGGAGGGCAAAGCAGTAAATCCCGACGCCACATGCTTGCAGCCCGACACTGACCGTTTTCTGTGACAATGACGTCCGTGTGGGAGCTGCCGTACTTATGGATGTGGTCAATGGCATCCTGGACACTGTCCACCACTTCAATGCACATTTCCAGGTCCCCGTACTCAGTTCGGAGTGACTTCACTTCGGAGGGGCTGAAGGTCAGATAGGAGGCGAACTTGGGGCCTGCGTGAATTTTCACCTGGAACAGAGGAAGTCCAGGAGTGACAAGATAAATGATGGACATGACCAAACTCGCACTCTTCTCTCAGATCAAAGAGCAAGATGTGCCTGCCCGAGTATGAGTCTGTGGCTCCTGCGGCCTGGACAATCAGACGCTCTTGCTTTCCTCCTAGAGGCAGCCTCCCAATCTGAAGGGAAACGCTGCTTTTGAAAATGCTGGCTGGCCACTTGTCAGCGATGGGCCCTCAATAAAACTGGTGGCATTTATGGGCTAAAGACATAAGCCCTTGACAGCTGGCACTTTCACAAATGGAATACTTAACTATAAAAACCCCACTCCTTACACATGGGGCCGAGGCACTGGACTCATGGAAAGAGGGAGATGATACCTGTATACCTCCACTCCCTCCACCTGGACAGTCCCAGGTATACTGCCGAGCTGTGGGCACCTGCTAGGATTCTGATGGTCAGTGTGGTGCCCACTTGTAGGCACTCACTCCATACTCAGAGGCTCATCCTGCTCTGGTTGGAGGAATGAAGGGATCCTGGAGCTGGTGACCGCGGGCACCAGTCACAGGTCTGGATCCACACTGGCCTTGTTCTCTAGGACCTCCCCAGGGCAGCATCCATGACTTGGCTTACGTCACAAGCACTGTCCTATCCTCACTGCTTCTGTGCTTTGCTCTGTGCGACCCATGCACTCCAGGACTAGGGCCCGATCGTGTTCTCCCAGGACTGCAGCCCACCCTGGCCTGGCATGGGGGTGCCTCCTGCGGTAACAGGTGCTGCACATCGTACACAATTGGAGCACTGAGCTCCAAGAGGCTCAGTCCTGAGGGGGACTGAGGAACTGGGGTGTATGAGGCAGGATGGAGGTTCTACTTCCAGCTCCAGGGGAGTTTTCCTCCTGTCCAGACCAGTCCACCATGGTGCCTGGCATGCACAGGGGCCCATCAAATAAGTCACTAATGTGAGGGCCCCAAACATGAGTGATTATATGCTTTTATTCCTAAAAGCATTTCAAGTAATCACCAAAAAATCGTTAATGATTTTAATCATTTTCATCTGTGATGTGAACTTTCATTTTTTAAACAATTCTTTTACGTTCTCATTGGGATGATGCTACATCTTTAAGCTAACCTGAGTCCCCTTTTCTATCAAAAGGATGGAAGGGGAGAGGTAAATGCTCACAGGCAGAGCAGCTAAGCTCCACAGTCTTTCTCTACTGCTGGCCAGTTTTCTGTAATTCTAAAAATGGGCATCACGACAGCAGGTATTATAGCTTAAACTACCTGACAGAAAATTAAGACAGTCTGTTTTTGCCCAGAGAACATCTCTTTTCTTGCAATTAGGAATTTAGGATGAAACTCATATGTATGTTTGAAATTTACTGGCTCTGGTTGTTTACAACCTTAATGAAATGGTAAGAAAGTAACCCAGGGAGTCAACAATTGTTGACTCTGAATAGCACTGTACTAAGTACTGTATTGGTAACTGAAGGCATTTGGGGGTTGCGATGGATGCACATGAATTTTTGGTTTGAAAACATTTCTGCAAGGCATTTTCAAATCCAATCCGATGGGAGTAAGTGTTCAGAAACATAAAATTCAAACTTTGCACCTGGATAAAGTGTTGCCAGAGCTAGTCCACCAGTGTGCTGCCATGCGGTCTGCTTATCTTGAAGCGTTACTCACCATTCTCTTTGTGTGTGCATTTCCCCCCTTGGCTAGCCTGTCAGAAGGCAGGGCATATCTTCTCAGCAGTACTTTCATACTCAAAAATACTGCTTCTTCAACGGCCTTAAATAGCATGGCAGCCGCTCTCGGCCTCATCCCTAGGCAGAGGAGTTGCCTTACCTGTTCTACTCTCAGCATATCAATGATCTGGTCAAATAATGGTGTTCTCAGTAGATCTCGGTGGATTAACAGAGTCTCTAGAGCATTACAGGCAGCTGGATATTCGCATTTAGAGTCTCTGACTGAAAGGACAAAGAACTGTGTCTATTAACATGATCAGAGACAGAAAGGATCTGACAAGCATTGTGCCCCAATTTAACACAGGGAACCCCCCTCAGCTCACCCAGTCTGGTGACTTTATCAACACTGGCCTCTGCATCCACGTACATGTGGCAGATTCCTTCACTGTGCCCCATCACTGGAATTCCCTTAGCAGCTTTCTGGATGTCTCTGACGAGCTGGGAAGAGCCACGTGGAATGATTAGATCTATCATTTTGTTTAGACGGCAAAGATCTTCTACTTCTTCTCTGGTATTCACCTGAAGTGGCAGAAAATAAAAAGATAAAGGTGAGATTTCTACATAAAATATAAAATATAAAGAGCAAAAAACTAACTGAAATAGGGCCTCCCTGCTGGTAAAAAGGGTTAAGTCTCAGCACTATGACACTATCCGCAACTACCATAGCATGAGTTCAGTTACCAGCCAGGGAGTTGACCCACATGGCGCAGCAGACCTCTCCTGTCTTGCCAGCTGCTCCTCTCAGCAGTGTATTTCAGTAGATCTGCCTGTTCTGCTCCCCACTCTGTAATTGGTGAATTCTCTCACATACCCCTGCCTGCACCTCTGGCCTACACCCCACCTCTTGTATGCATAAATAAATAAAATAAAAATAAATAAAATAAATAAAAATTAACTGAAACATATAAACATCAGTTTTTTAAAAATTATTTTTTATAACAGTTTATTTTTACTTCATTTTGTACATTTTCTTTTATTTCCATCTCAATTGTAACCTCCACG